CGTTTACTGAGTGCGAACTGGCGAAGAATTAAAGGACGAGAATGAACCACACGCGAGTCACGAACGAATCCGCGAAGAATTCAAATTTAGTGAGGAGTATCGATCGCAGTGAATGCCCAAAGAATTCGTGAGTACGTTATAAGTGAAGTTGGCGCTTCTTAGCACGATATCATTGATATGCTCTTGATGTTGATGTTAGGCAACATAATCTCACCGAATGTTTGGTAACTTGCGTAACTAGAAATTCTTATTCGAAAACTACACCGAGCGTCCCTCTGAAATGTTTTCATATACTGAGAGCAAGAATACTTAAGAAATCAAAATCTTTTATTAGTAATAGCATATATATATATATTTACTAATATAAAATATTTTTAAATAGGAAAATATACATTTTTTTTAAATTTTAGCTTCTCATGAAAGCAATTATTTATTCCATTTAAATAAAAGAATTTAGATTAAAGTAAGTATATTATTAGCATTCACCGAATAAATAATTCTTAATTATTAGATATTACTTCTCTCAATGTATTTTGTTCCAGATACCGCGGTATCTTCGCGGATAGATTTTTTTATTAGAAAAGAAACTAACGAATTTTCGAAATTAAGGCGTTTTAAAATCGAGTCTTCAAATGTCGGCGCCATTGGTGACATGTTAATTAATATTACCCAATGAGAAATAACATCGAAACGATGTCGATTGATAAGTCATTTCTCGATGGTTATTATCGAAAACATTTTTGTACTATAATCGCGAAAATAAGAGAAGTAACTGTTTGCTACTTTGAAATATGTTTCGAACTTTAAACAGAATTACATTAGGCAAATAATAGTCTTATTGGATCGACGATCGTCGCTAATTCGCGAAATTTCATAAAATTCCGAGATTTTCATCAGACAAATTCACAATATTTTCGCGCCCATATACGCTTATGTATTTTCGCGCATACCCAAACAGAGCAAAAAATCATGATGACATCAAAATGACAAGAAAATAATTGCAAAACTCACTTTTCTATCATAACTCGATCATTTTGATCTTCATTTTCTATTCTGCTTATATACAAAAACACGTATCGTTTAGAAACATTCCCGAAACGTTTTAAAAGCAGGTATGAAATGTTACATATATTTAGAAAATGAATGTGGAATCAATATATGCTACTAGAGACACTATATCAATACACTTACATGAGTGTATAGCGTGTTTTCTTTATTTCGCAACCTTGTGTTACTTGCACATAATGTTATTACAGAGTTGTATCGCGTATATTTTTACACAATTTGTCGCTGTTACCATTCGACACAAAATGTTCTATGGTATTTACGACGCGCTTCTCAAATGATACATTTAAGAATATATATTTCGTAAATTATCAAATGCTAACGCAATTGAAAAGATAATATTGAAATATATGTCAGAATTTTCACAGGAGTTGATAAAGATTTGTCACTTAATCCTTTGAGTGCGGAGCGCTCCAGACCTAAACGATCACCGAGGAAAAACTAATACTTTGAGCTGCTATAAATCAATGAGTGAGAGAAATAACTTTTTGAAAAATTGAAATTAATAGAACGAGATAAATAAAATCTTATTTATTATTGTCGCTAAAATAGCTAAAGGAACATAAATTCAAATTGTCATCAGAATAGTTGATACATGCTGTTTGTATCAAAAGTATAAAACAGAAATTTGACATATTAGCGTGTCTAAGTTCACATTGATGATATTCTTCTGACATATACCCGGGTAGAATACAAACTTATAAAAATATTACTATGACATCATATAAAAGTTATTTCAAGAAATATTATCATGATGTCGTTTGATATAGTTTTTAATGAATATGATGAATTCTTGGTACCGTGCGCGCGAAACGATGTTGATCGACAAGTCATTTCTTGCTGGGTTCTACCTGGATATACATCATTTAAAAGATTAAATCAATCAAATCAATCGTAAAATTTGTTATTTTTGTAATAAATTTGTCAATATTATTATGGGAGGAACAGCTAATAAATTTTATTACGGGACAAATTATGAAGAATGATTTTTGTGAAGAATGAATGCATGAATTTCGAGTTCGAGTCGAATGCATGAGTTCGATAGATCGGGCATTTTACTCTAGGCATCTCGTTATGGATATTAATCGATGTAAAAAACATTATCCCGGTGTAAGTAGTACGTACTTTAATTATGTAAAGCATTTCGATCGTATGATATTGTTGCTTCATGTGTACGTATAGCACTGTGTCGTGGATAGTGTAAGGTACACTTTACAACTTGTTTTGCACATTAATAGGCATACGGTGTAAAGCCAGCGGCACATGATGCTTGTTTTCATGCTGGATTGCTTGGTGCATTTCTGAAGATGGATGGAAATACACCAATCAAAACAGAGTATTTCCATCCAGCAAGCAATCCAGCACGAAAACAAGCACCGTGAACCGCTGGCTTAAGTAACCAATTCGTGAAGTCTTGTGCTGAGTACAATCGTTCAATAAATCACGTTAATGAAATAATATATCAACATCTTACTTATATAAATGTCCCTCTTTAAATTTCTTCCAGTAAAATTCTATTCAAAAAGTAGAATGACAGCCGAATCAGTCAAATTCGAGTAAAGTTTTCATTTATATAAAAAGTGAATTTTTCCACTATGAATCGTCGAGTAAATATTTTCATTCGAAACCGAAGAGAAAGAGAGAGAGAAAGAGAGAATGAATTACATGTGAAATATTAATTCACTATAATTGAAATTCACTAGTAATAAGTAAGAAATCCATTTTGTCTGTATTAAAGATACTCAGTTAAAACCTGTTTCATATGAAATACTTAGATTTTTGTTCAGAATCAGATACAAGTTTTTCGGTTGCACTATAGTATAAGTGATATTTAAATTTGTAGTCACAACTGAAAAAGCTCGTTTATAATGAACTGAATTCTGAATTCAGATCGGGATATCTCACTTGAGGCAAATTTCAAATAACGACTATTATATCATTATTATATCATATCCTATAATGATATCATTAATTAATTATATCATTAACTTTTCTCCTTTCTCTCTTTCTCTCTCTATGAATTACGGAAAATCATAAGTTGAAATATTCATATAACGATTAATATAAGCCTAAATTTGAGTAAAATATTTACTCTTGCGATTCAAAGTAACGTTAATTTCATTACCTTTTTCGAATGAATTTTTCAAGTTTTTGCTTGGACGAAGATTTCACTCTTAAAAATTAAGAGAGCACATATATACAGTCAGCTGATTAAAGATTATAAAACTTTTTTCGTAACACGTATCTTATCTGACAGAAGTATCTTATCCAATAGGAATTTATTTTTTAGTGATTCTCGAGATATTTTTATATTACGAGTATTATATTTTTGTATTGGATATGGAGTGCGTTGCGAAATTGATTAAAATTGCGACTTCTAAACATTTCACTTTATGTACGATTGAGCGATTGTGATAGCATAACAAAAAAAAAAAAACAAGTCGAGAATCGGATTGCCCAGTTGAGAAACAATTAGTTGCAGCTTGGCAGAGCGTCGTCGCGTTATCTTGACAGTTCGAGTCAAGCTAGAACTTGCTTACTGAATGAAATCATTTAGCCGTTAAGCAACGAATTGACTCGCTTGTCAGTTGGAACAGTAAATTAGACTCGTAATAGTCAAGAAAGAATTCTGACCCTGAGTTAGACAGTCGCGATTATGCAGTGTCGGTGATGACATTCGGTCCGCGTGTTTTGTGTATTCGAGGCGAATTACTTTTTTCTTAATTATAGTGATTCATAAAAATTATATCATTAACTCCTCTCTCTCTCTCCCTCTCTCTTTCTCTCTCTACGAATTATGGAAAATCATAAGTTCCTATTTAATAACTGAAACAATAAGAATGTCAAGAATTAGGTATCAGTGTATTATTAGTGTCCGGGCATTGGTACTCTTACTTTAATACGCATTTTTCCTACACGCACGATATCATCGTCGAAATATTGCGAAAACGGACAACTGGATAAAAATGCAAAATGTAAATAGAATAACAGGAATGAAAGTCAATTACATCATAATCTAAGTAAACCGACTCAGCAACTAAAAATGTAATAACGCGAAGAGATATTTCGGCATTATCGCAAAATGAGAAAACACAGCTCGTTATCAGTAATAATTTTCTCACGATACAGAATAATGAGCTAGGTTATAACGCTATTTTATTATCACCAAGGCAAGAGAGAGAAGAAGCACGTTTTCGCGGACGTCATTGCAATAACAAAGATTTTTGTAATGAAATAACCCGTGGAATCGCGCGAGTTCGTTTATCTCGTGTCTAGTTTTACTGTATGTACTCTCTTCAATACGTTCAATACGTTGTGTGACGTTATCATCTACAAAATAGCCCACGGATGACACGCATATGATTATAATCACAAAAAATTTTGCGACAGATAGGAAAACAGTACGAAGTTCGGTTCAGTTTTTGAATCATCGCGTTTGTAATGACTTCGAATATGTATGACGTGTTACTGAAAGATTGGTCAAAGTTCTAGCATAAATGTTGAACCTTGTATCTATTGTCTAAAACTGTACCTATTGTATCTATTGATTTGTTAAATACTGTTATCGATTATGCTTACTCTTTGTGTATTAATGATATAATAAATAGAATCGATTAAGTAATTGAATAAATTAATCCCGTGTCAAGAATTCAAATTTCGCCGTATCGTGATTATATATCGTCGCACAATTCGAATTTTTTAATGACATTATATAAAATAATAATTATTTCGGCGTACACACACACACACACACACACACACAGAGAAAGAGAGGGGATCAATACTCGTATTAATAGACGTTACTTAATTTGTCCTAGGCGAGATCATAAAATTGGAACTTAAATCTGATTTTTTAAAAGATTTTTTGCAAATCTAATGTCGTATATGTTACATTATTTAAATAAAAAACTTAAATCTAACTCTAAATTTAAATCTGAGAATCTCATATAGGACAAGTTTCAAGTAAGAATTATTAATAGGGACTTGAAACACCGAGAAACACCGCGCCGAGTGTTCCTAAGTGTGTCCCTCAATCAACCACAAAGATCGTCTTTTTATAAAGTTCTAATTAACCATAAAGACCACACTGGTGAATTTATTATAGCGCAAGTGCGCAATGAAGCACACGAGTTTCTATACATAGAATTGCAAAAAAAACCAGCACTATTCTTCCTAGAGAGTTTTTTTTCCTACCGAGGAAGAAAATGGGTTATTTTTTCACGACACTAAGCAAGAGCGAATTAATAGTCTTGTCGTTTTGAAGATGAAGCTGCTATTTCATACCACGTTCTTCAGGATTAATATTAAAAGCGGAAAAAATTGTTCCTATCGACTGAAATCTAATTTGTATCTGCCATACTCGATTTTCCGCCGAAATATCTAAAAACATGTTCGATCTAGCTTCTTTTACAAGATGATTCGAAGAAAGGATGAGATTATAAAAGAGGTTTTTTACTGTTGTAAATATTTATATTCTTAAGTACTTCGACTCTTCTTCGGATCATCCTCTCTCAATCACACAAACGAGAAAGCACTCATGATATTTCGTGGATTTTTCAGGTTGTTAAATAGCGTTTGCTCATCGATCGGGCTCGCAATGGTATTCCTTTTCGTGATACTCTTTACCTTCGGTATGAGCGAGTCCCTGAAGTATCGAGCAAAGTTCGTTTTCTACATACTGGCAAGTGCTGTAGCTGCGGGAATGTGGATACCTTTGATGTTGTTCCGCATAAGAAGCTATAAGAACGCGATGTGAGTTTCCATAAGGATTTAATCAGAGGAGAGGATCCTCGGAGTAATAAAACGAAAAAGAGATGACTCGATGACATCGACATAGGATCTACACAGAACTGTAGAAATTGATTAAAAAATTTGGATTCGACTTTTTAAATTTGACATCACATTCAACGGAAACGCGTTAATTTGTAATTTTGTGATTTAGACACGTTAATTTTATAATTTTAGATATTGAATAACACCTTCTTCACTTTGTTATTTTGCACACGTATCGCGTCGAGTCTCTCTTTTCCATCTGATAGAACAAAATCTTTCAGCTTGCCAGCCTATGGGGCGGTGATAATAAGGAAGATGCTTGGAATCAACTACCAGTTGCGCGGAAAAGAAAACATTGTCAAAGACACAGGCTGCGTTGTGCTTCTCAATCATCAGAGCTCCTTGGATCTTAGTGGTAATTACAAGCAGTTCTCATGTTTATCGCGGCACAATATGCAGTAAGAGAAAGAAGTACGCTACACAGATATCGCGCCGCTGCACAAGAAAATGCACGCGATACAAGTCATTTATACATGTACGATAAAGTCAAAGTTCGCTTTGTATAGTTTTAGCTGAGTTATGGTTGATAATGGATCACTGCTCCGTCATCGCCAAAAAAGAGGTCATGTATTTAGGAGTATTCGGCCTATCGAGTTGGCTTTGGGGAACGGTGTTCATCAACCGGAGAAATGTCGAGGAGTCTCATCAGATTCTTAACGCCACGGTGGAATCGATCCGCTCGGCAAAGGTAATCCCCATTAGGTCTTCTGCATTATTAATACGACATGGTTGTGTTTCACAACATAAAAGAACATATTAACGGGATTGAATTTTTTAGCGAAGGCTTCTTCTGTTTCCTGAGGGATCCCGGCATTCGAACAAAACGTTGCTTCCTTTCAAAAAAGGCGCTTTCCATGTCGCGATCGACTCGCAAATGCCAATTCAGCCTGTTGTCGTGTCGAAGTATTATTTCTTGAATGACAAACGTAAGCAATTCCATTCAGGTCAGTAAATATCAATATCACGTCTATGATTATCATGAAACACGGAGACTGAAAATTCATTTGAAAGGCGGACTTTGTATCTTAGGAAATAGTTACATCACGATTTTACCTCCTATTCCTACCGCGGGTATGACCAAGGACGATCTTCCAAAGCTGATGGAGCAGGTGTACGCAATCATGAACAAAACCTTCGTGGAATCCACACACGAATGCCTCGCGGATCACATAGGAAGCCTGAAGGAAGAGTGATATTATAAGAGCAACATGAAGTGATTAGCGCTGTGAGCACAATTAAACAAATTTGTGACAGGCTAATTCACAAATAGTACCTGGGATAAATATTTTATCGCGTTCTCAAGTGTCTTCGCGAAAACTGAAACTTACACGGAGAGAATATTATAGTCTCTTTTTTCAATATAAATTCTTTTCTATTTTACTATGTTTTTAGTCCAGAAATAAATTTTTTTCTATTTTACTATGTTTTTAGTCCAGGAATAAAACGCCAGTAAAATCTATGTTGCTAAGGAACATAGTAAATTTCGCTAGAAACATAGCAATATTCCAGTTCTTAAAATATAAGTAACACATATAAAATGAAAGGATAGTAAATTATTGCAGAATGTCGATCTATTCCTCGGATAAAATTCTATAGCAATTTTTACTATAAAATTCTGCCCGTGTACGTATGTGTTATATCCCTTTTTTCTTACACGATGTATATGTAAAAGACACAGATTTCAAAATCGTTATTTAAAATTTTTGTATTTCTCGCGATGAATTGACGATAATTATTTTGCTCGACATTGTTGTATAACTACGATCTAATCCAGAGATAATATAATGTCTAAAAGACATCTTACAGATGTCTAAAAGACATTTTATTTGTTTTAGGTTTCTTTTGGATGCCTTTAAGATATTTATACTGTGTGAGAAGTTTGAGATATTTCACGTTGATTAGTGTTCTTCCATTACTCTATGTAAAAGTTTATCCTGGAGGATCAGAAGGATCTGTGAGAAAGCTCAAATAATATTTTTACTAAAAATACAATTTGTACTTTTCATATCTTGCGGTAATATGCAAATTGTTAATCAAAAAGTTTTGTCTCTGCATAATATGCAGCGAGTATTTTGTAATGTATACGGAAAATAACGAATTTAAAACTCTTCCATGTTTTGTGTATCTCAATAGCAAAAATTTGTTTTTATTGTTATTATGTTTATTGTTATTATGTTTATTGTTATTGTGTGTCACGCTAACATCGAATAGCCGTTATCAATGTTCGCAATATTCTCCATGAATTATATTTTTACCGTAACGAGATGAGACGTGCAGAAATAAATAACGTCTGTTAAACATATTTTCTCATAGATATTATTTAATTTTTTTTTGTTTACGTTGGAATTTGTGTAGTTTCACGCATCGAGGCTCACATGTGATATTTTTCAAAACCTGCCTGCCAATGTGTCCACAAATTACGATTATGCGTATTAATTGCTTTAGTATACATTTTTCAGAATATTAAATTAACCAATTAGATAATTCGTTCAAGAAGAAAAAATTCGATATGAAAAAAAATAATATGTAATGATATATCTATACTTCTTTTTACACAATCTTACATCCTTCTCGCGTGCACACATTCGCAATATGTTTATATTTTTCAGAACACGGTCACACATTACATAAAACGTTACCTAAGAAATCCGAACCGTTGTAAAAATGCGATTTATATGTATATTATACATGATATGTCCACGTATGTGTTATATATATTAAAAAATAAGGTTATGGTATATAATAAATTATATTTTATATTATATTTATACTTGCTGGATCACATCAATCTGCTTTTATACTAATACAGCATAAATGTCCAAAAGACATATTAGAGATGTCTGAAAAATATCCTATTTGTTTTAAATTTGTTTTTAGGATGTCTCTGAGATATATTTTAGACATTTATGCTGTTTGGATGATTATAACCTACCGATTGAGAAAAAATAGAATCTTTAAACATGATGACACGCGGTGATACCCTCGACTTTCCCGACACATTGCTCATGTGAAAACCCAACGTCCTATGTGGAGAATGATATTCAACAAAACGCGACATTAGAGGCGTAAGATCTTCATGCTTCTCAGTGAGCACGCGATCGCAATATGGATGTTCTCAGAGACGTTCTCAGGATGTTCTTAGAGAAGCCATTCTATCGCGTTGATAATTGAAGTAACCAATTTGATTGCCAGATTTATTTAAATTAGCCTCACCATCCTCTTCCGCCCGAAGTACGAACTTGTATTCTTTGTTTCGAGACCAGGTTTTTGGTCTCGGCAAATCGCATATATCACAAGTATTTTTCTTCTGTAATATCCTTTTAATTTCGTCTTCATCAATCATTTCCATGTCTCGTTCGTTCGCATCTAAAACGATTGGCAAATCGATACTTTGTAGGTGGTTTAAATATGAACGTCTCTCGGTTTGCGTATGCATGTTCATTTTCATTCGTCTTGGAGTTATTAATTTGAAAAAGTTTATACGTTTTATCATATCCGTTGCTCGACATGATCGATTCGCCAAGTCACTTCGCCGAAAGTCCGGAGTCGAAGTTCTTATAGGCATTCTTCGAACGGTTTTTAATGTCGCTGATGAATAATGAACTTGTTTATCATTGCTTTTTATTGGCGGATAGTCGCGGGTGAAATCTTCCGTTCTAGTCCGATACCCTTGCTGATTTGCTTCAAGATTCACATACATCGGCGGTTTATTCTTGGCTTTAAAGTAACTAATTGCATTATCATTTCTATTTGCACTTGTTCCTCTCATGATGTGGGTCATGGTTTTTCGCTTTGAAAATTCGTCGATGACATCTTTCTCTGGTTTTCCGTGATCGCCGCAAACGTCCATCTCGAGGTCCGAAAGCGAGGAAGTCGAAGACCCGTTGGCTCCAAAATCAGCAAAACACTCGTTATATTCTTTTTGTTTTGAGTCGATATTTACGAATTTGGGGAAATTATTTTTCTCTTCGAAACTCGAGCACTCGAGCGTCAATCCGCCGACTTCGTCGTCTGTTTTCTCTTCCAGAACTTTGTTTTGGTCGCAGCACGGCAATTTATACAACGTGTAAGGACATTGGCTTCCGCATGAACATATCTTATACTTTTTGGACTTATTCTTTAAGAATGCTCGCTTCACACAACCTTTCGATGACTCGTTTGTGGCCCAATTTGAATGAATGATAAGTCGATTATCGGTTATCAGTGACGACGGACTAGCTTGCACATTGTTTCTCGTTACGTTCCAACACGAAGAATGAGCCGACTTTTTGTCGTCTTTTTGATATGAGCAAATAGTGATATCTGTTTGTGTAGAAGCGTCCGATACAAGTGATGTATCCGTTGAATCATCAGGCTCTTCGTGGATGTCGATGCACTTGAATATATCATTCTCGTTTGCTTTATCAAACTCGCAGAGCTTCCTTACCTCTTCTTTTCGCGAAAGACGAATTCGTCGTTGCTCACTGGACTCGGCGTAATTATTTTTAGTACTTTTTAGAAACAGCTGAGGCGTTGGGACGTTGTGTATAATTTTAATGAGCTTGTTTTTAAAGGATTTTAGGCCATCATAAATTGTTGATAAAGTGATCTTTGCCGGTAGAGACTTGTACGACGGAAGCTCTTCGTCTCTCTTACTTTGTACCATATAATTTGGAGAGTCAGATTTAGAAACCTAGCACATACATCATATAATCGTGATAAGTACATATCCAATAAACATCAACTATTAGTAACATAATATCAATTTTATAATTTCCTACTTATAGTCGAAATTTAAGAATGTAAACACTGCCAAATATCCCACATAGCACGTAATATTATATAATATCACAGTAATATTTCCGCAATATTGCAATATCGCAGAAATATTAAGGAAATATTACTGTAATATTATATATATTACGTGCTATGTGGGATATTTTGGAACTACCTGGCTATTTTCTGTGAACTGACAAATTTCCTCGGTCGCTGTGAAATCTTTGACATTCTTAAAATATGTCTTCACATTGCCTACTACACATGGTCTAACATGATCGATCTCGCAATTTAATTTTGTACATTCAAATAACATATCATCGTGCTTTACATTGAGGGATATTTTTTTCAGATCCTTCACCTCTCTCCTAAGTTCGTCTACTACGTTTGACAGCGCTTTCACTTGCTCAAATATGTAATCGAGTCTATCCTGATCGCGATAGCAAATCTCTTCCGACATAACTTATATCTTTCAGTCAGTATCAGAGTATTTTGAGAATATAGTACGCAATGCTTCGTCATTACGCGACATGTCGATGGTAATTGATAATTTGTGCTGTATCTTCGATAATAAACTATTTCGACGACATGGTTAAGTTAGGACTATCTGTCATCCATTTTAGTTACTACAAGTCGTTGCTATAATAGCCAGATATCGAACATATTCTCTTGCATGAAAATATAATTTCCTTACAATCACATGAATAAAATCACATTCTCCCTTCTATACCATGAATGATAAAATGATTTATTATATCATCACATAATAATGTGATGTAACGATAATATATGAGCTCATGTGCACACAATAAGTAATATTAATGTATAAATCATAAGTAATGGTATTTTTTATAATCTGTAGCAGAAACAGTGCTTCTCATTTTCTCAATAAATCGAACGAGCTGCTGTATTAAATATCATTTATTTGATTGATCGTACGTTCTAGGTACATTCCTCGTCAGTCGGTGTCGAGTACCATAGCTAACTGGCTATTAGCGTATTAGTATAGTAAAGTTTGGTAATACAAAAGACTCCCCTCTTCATTCTCCTTTTCCTCTTCATCTCCTCCTTAGCACACGTATACGTTTGCGCGTAATACTATATTCGTAATATCTCATATGTACAATTTGTTACTTCCGCTGCTAATGCGGCGCACGCGTTAGAGAATGATTAATTGTCGTTCCTCCGTTTGTAACGCGTTATCGCCGCTGTATCCACGCGACAGCGCGGGTTAATAAACACTAACGATGCAAAAATATCTCTATATAAAAGATACGTAGAAATCGCACGTGCCGCGTATGCAGCTATGATAAACGACTTCTGCACGATCGTCCGAAAATAAATATGAATCCTTTTTCATTTCTGTTATGTACCATCGACGATTAAGCTGTCTACGCAATCTTCGTTGTCCGATACGGTCGGTCAATCCGTGAAATGGCATCGTTATTGTACCAAAAAGAAGAAACGATTGGCTAGGATGATGAGGATGTGCCGCATCACTGCGATAACAAGCGCGTTGATCACAATGATTTGTATATCCGCGTAATATCATACACAATTGCGAAATTTCGACGTTCTGGAATGCTGATACTGTATTTGATCGTACCTTCTGCTTCTTCGCTGAGTCTTCAACGAGATGTGACTTAGTCCTTTCGTTCTAATTAGTTCTTCTACAATCGAGGTAATCGGGTTGCCCATTTTCGCCTCGTACGCTAAAGAAAGTCCTTTCTACAATAGTTTCGGGATGCGCGGATCTTACGACAAGGAGAACGAGATAGCTTGAATATTCTAGACAGAAATCGAAGCTGCATTCGAAGCAATCGAGAAAGTCTCAATCATTCTCTTGACATTTTTCTAGTTACAGTCTACTAATAACTATTAGATTGAAATTATGTTAGACTGACGCAAAACCTTTGTTGTTCTGTCAAATTTTGTTTGCAGTAAACATTCAGTTTTGTGAATGTTGATTTTGTCTCTGTTCGATAAAATAAGAATGAAAATCGAAAGAAAATAAAACAGTTTAATTCGTATGAAAGCTTACAACCGTTTCGCTTTAATCCGTATTCGTGATTTTATCTTTACAAACAAAAAAAAATAATTATATGACTTCTTTCAGAATGACAAAAGTATAACGAAACCGACGATGACAATTTTGATTAATTTGCTTGAAAAATTACTTATAAACTGTTAACTATGTTTGAAATTTTTTAGACAAATACGTGGCAAAGCTCATGCGTCAATCTAACACATCAAAATTATATAACGAAGCCGAGCTACACAGGAATATTATAGCTTCGACGTCTCGAAAAGTTGTATTGTTCATATCATTCTCTATGTCCACTGACTCGTTCGATAATACTGATACAATCGCAACATTCAACAAGTCATAAAAATCACTAGCAACAGCCGGGCAAAATCGATCAACAATCATGAAAATCTAGCTCGTTTATCTCGTCGTAAGATCTCGATCACTGTCTCGAGTGAAATGTGTACTTCTTACAAAAACACTCGGCGCGCTCGTCGAGCCAGGTGTTAATACTTAAAAGCTACAACGTAATCTAACGCGTCTAGCCATATAAATAAGGTAGAAGACGAACTCTCTATATTATATAAGAGAAAGAAGTAGTTGAAAAAGTGACTGATGGGATCCCTCGGCTGCCTCGTTACGTATGTCCCGGGCGAGCCGTTCTCTCTTTTCCCCTTCGTCGTACACTCGTCTCTCTTGGTCCCTCTTTCTCTTTTCCTTCGCTATTCGCGTATAGCACAGCCTTCTTTCCTCCACCTCCTTTGTTCTTTGTAGCGGTCCCGGTTCTTCGTCTCTCGCGTGTGTTTGTCTCTGCCGGCAAACTCGATGCTGACGACGGGAGTCGCGACATTGAGAGGCCGTTGAGATCAGAGAACAGCAACACACCGGTCGATCGATTGGTCGGACGACGATTGATCTGAAACGTTCGTTTCGGAGAGCAGACTCTTGGTCTTCAACGCAGAAGACGATCTCTCTCTCTCTTCTTTTAGTTTCACTCTATTGTCCTGCTGAGCTTCCGATTCCTTTCATGGCCTATTATCGGTCTGCACAAAACCTCTTCCTGAGGTGTCGGGTGCATACACCTCTGGTGCGTCTTCTGCACTGGTTGTCGTTGTTGTTGCGCCGCGCGCTCGGACTAGCTCAGTTTAGTCGGCCGGAGTACGGTCTGTCGGGGATTCGGGGAGGAATATTAGGTACAGGACGCCTACAACATAGACAGATATTATAGAGTGAGTGCCAATGTGTGTATCTGCATGTGTGTGTGTGTGTGTGTATGCCATATACGATATTCGAAGCGCAAGCACGTCGCGGGAGTAAGGATGATCAACGATCACTGAACGGAAAAGAACGGGGAATCGATACACGTAGGGAGGCTCGAGAAATTCACGTCAAAATGTCCGACTAAATGCGTCAGTTAAATGTTACATAGACTCTTACTTTGTTAACACCAATCGTTCAATAATTAGGTAATAACTCGACAAAGAGTTAATCTAATTAACTACATATATATGTAGTACACAAGGAGCGACTATTACTCTCATTCCTTTAGTCGGACATTCAGTGTTGATCGTGATAGCGTCATAAGTTGGAATCTAACGGAAATGATATTACGCTAACTGAAAAAGATTGCATATGCACGCGAATGGCAAGGTGCTAAGACTAGAGAATAATACTAAGAACTTTATAAAGTATCAATGATATAAGTTAATAGTGATGGATCTTAAAAAGGAAGTAGAACAGGTTCGCATAGCATGCACAAGCCTTAGCCTTAAATGACATGCAAAAATTAATACAGCGAGAAGTAACAATCGCATTATTTTTCACCTTACACGAAGAATCGATTAACACGAACAGGAACGCACAACACATCGTGTTCCATATTTTACTAACAGCGGCGCTACACTCGGGATGAACAAGCATTATTAAGATCTGATTCAATTCTGCGCTTTTTTCTTTAAACTGTCCGCATATAATTTCTAAATGTATTAAAGTTTTTCAGAAAAAAAGATGATTATACGTTCTATAAAAAATTACGCAGTAATATATGTTAATACGAGATTTTCAGAAAATATAAAAACAATTGTGATTTAACTGAAATCACACTCATTCACAATTATAGCCCTCCAAACATCTCGTGTAAACGAACATATTCGTCACCATCAACGGCAAAAATAATAATACTTTAGAAAGTTATTCCGCGGACAAATTAGGAAACGTGTCGTAGGGTCGTAAACATGAGGTTCCAGAACTACTAAAAAGAAGTACGCAGAACGCGAATACGCATCCCCGTGCGCGGGGAAAACACATTCACGGTGAGTCTCGTCGCGGCTCTGGAAAATGCTAAACGTGCGTCTCTGTCTCTCTCTCCGTTTTCTTAACGACGAGGGAGAGGAGAAAGTGCTGAATTCACGATAGCCCCGACGGAAATGCGTCTTCGACCGTTCGTGAGAACAAAAGCCTCCTTTTTCACGCAATCTTATTTTTCACTTACGTACGCGCGCATATGCATGCACGTGTATGTATACGCACGTGCATGTGCATATACATACACATGTGCATCGCATATACGCATATAGATATATTTCTATATAACATGTTATGCTCCCTATATACACATTTATATTGCAGTAAAACAGTGTTGTGTACGCGCACACAGCGCAATATTACAACGTGTCTCTTTTGGGGTGTACCGCAGAAGAACTCAGCCAAGTAACCCTCCAATATGTCGTAATAATAATTTTTCTCTTCATTTTTTCTTTTAACAATATATCTCAAGGGAGAGGAGAAAATTCGCACTTCTGCCCAGAATGCAGTTGCAGTTTGTTGGTCGGATTTACATGTTCGGTCCGAATAAAAATGGCTATAAAAATCAATACATATATATATAGTATGGTATAAAAATTAACAAGGGCAATATAATGTTGTTTCGTTAATAATCGACGAGAACTATGCCGTCCCGATTATATCTGAAAAGTTAGAAGTACATAGTGATTTTGCTGTATGGATTTCTCTCGCTTATCATCGCGGCCGCAAAGTTTTGCTTATCGAAGGCTCTCTATTTCGTTAATTGGGGGTTACTTTGCCCGCGTACGACTGAAGGGCTCGGCACAAGGGAAAATAGAGATAATACATACGTCTCGGTGCGGCTTCGAATTACCATTTACACACTCTCTCACATACACACATACACACAAATATTCGTGACACGTTCGAGAAAACTTCATTCGAAGCGCGCGTATCTGTCGAACCGCTTTTGTCATGTCTCTCTCTCTCTCTCTTTTTCTCTCTCGACAAGTTTGACATCACAGAAGATTATCAGAGTTTCGCCTGTACCGGGCCCTTCGAGATATCAAAACTATCCCGCCGATAGCAAAGCCGCGATTCACGCCTTGACCGAAATATTTTACCGTTCTCGCTCTGCATCTGTCTTCTTTTTTATATATATTCTCTTTTGTAACATTATATACGCGCGGCGATCTGAAGATCCTCGACCGGCGGTGTACAATTAAATTACATTATTTAGTCGGTGTTGGCTTTACACGAGATAAGCATAGTGTAACTAGAGTGACACATAAGGCTTTTAGATGGAAGCATGTATATAATGCGCCGAGAGTAAAAGTGTGTTGCATCGCAACTACTATATATATATATGTATATATTGTTGCGTGCGGGCTTCTGTGAACAACGTGGAAATCGCTTTCACGATATTCAGCGGCCCTGACGCAATTGTCTACGATTAACATCGGGCCTCGACATCTTCGCGAATCTCGTCGTAAAGTAGCGTAACGTAAAGTAAACAAGAAACGAGTATTTTTATCAAAAGTGAAATATGTGTGTAACGCATAGTTATATGTATAAACTATTCAGTTAAATATATGTTAAATTATTCAAATGGGACAAATTCAATGTCCCGTCAAAAGAAATTACTTTTCGTTGTAAGACTCAATATCATATTCCGTTAAAATGTCACGCGGGCGAAATTGTCATGTAACGTTTTGCAACTTATAATTTAGCATGAGAATTTCTTTCTTTCTTTCTCTCTCTCTCTCTCTCTCTCTCTCTCTCTCTCTCTAGAGGTGCAATCGCGGACACGACGTGAAACGAACGATTCTCTTGTTACTCTGATAATATATTTCGTGACACATAGAATTTCTAAACGTTTATTTCGGACAGATACGTCTCTACAAACTCGAAAACTTATCATCTCCCTTACGAAAATAAGTGATAATATCGGAAAATTGAGTATCCGTATGAAAGTAAATCAAGGGACACTTTTTGATCGAGAGTTTCGATTAACATTACTTGGGTGCGGCACGTGCACGTATGATATGCTCGATTGTAGAGCTACGAGAGCCTTCTGAGAAGGCTCCTATTTATCCCTATTTTCATAGTTACGTCTTAACAACGATCTCGTGAGAGTGACGCTACTCCGTAATTAAGAACGGAAAAACTCTCTATTAAGTGTGCAACATGACGCATCGCGCTAAACGAATCTACGAATAATTTTTTCTTACAATATAATATACTAGACGAGTCAGGAGAAAAGTTCAATATTCTAGGAGGTCATAGTGCCGATCTTTATAAGCAAAAAAATTCACACGAACATATCTTATATCGAACGGTTGTTGAGATGGAGCTGTTTGAAGGTACAGTTGTAAAATTGTGTTGTAAGAGAAAGATATTACACACTGTTTTAAAAATTTATTGTTCTAGTGTACGAAAGATGGATTGGCACAAGATGAACTGCTAAATCGCATGAAGGATGCTATGGTCCGCGTAAAAGAACGTCGAGGTGAACTCAGATGAGGCACTCACTATCTTCTCACGCGAATTACAAAGTGCATTGATATTGACGGTGAAATTTTTGAAAATGTACTATAATCTGTAAGCAATTTTCCACCTAAATAATAAATATTTGAAACAATATATAATATCTCTTTTTTATCAATAATTTTGTTATACAATCAAACTGTACATTCAAATATCTCGACAACCGTCCGGTGTAGGACACATGTTCACACGAAACTTTTTTGCTTACAAGGATCGATACCTCCAAGAATTATTGACTTTTCCTTCTGAATCACCTTCTGAATCATGTATAGTGGCGTTCTCTCGTAATAGTATTAGTAATAATATCCCTTATGATATATCATTTCATACGATCACTTTTTCTGTCATTCCGACGCGCTCATTTAATTCCGACTGCGATGTAAAGAATCATCAATAGCTCAATATGTATATATGCATGTCTGTACACAAGTTATACTGTACAATAACATTACAATAGGTGTACCATTTGCGGGATTGCACGCGGAATTTCTCAGTAATCTGCGTCAATGCATTTCGTGCCAATCTGCACTGAATGCAACGCGTGACATCGACCGGTACTCCGGAACTTCACGAGTAATCTAACTGAACCACGAATTCATACAACATTCTCGTCCAGTAGTGTACGCAAAACCAGATGCGGTTAATTACGACATGCCTCGAAAGTGGAGCGATCGATTTTGCAAGCTTTCAAAACGCATTGTGATCGAGCTATCGCAACACAAAGTCATTGAAAATGAGAATGATTAAAAGAGCAGACTTTCAACATTGGAAAAAAGTTAGAAATTAACTCGAGGAGTGTTATTAGGCCCTCCTGATATCGACAGGATCCGAATGGAGAACGCGAAAACAACATGGAGATATTTACAGCGTCTCCTGGTCTGTTATTTAAATTCATGAATTTGTAATTCATAAATTTAAATTTACGAATTAATTTTCGTAACGAAAATCGCTTCGAATACGAACAGCGCAACGACCATATCGCCTTCACATCGCCGGTGTTCTTCTGCAGTTTCGTCATCTATTCAAGAGAAGACATTCTTCGTTCTACTGTAACGAAAAATAATATTTTCTTTTTTTGTAATTGCACTTCGATTACCGCCTTCGAGTCAGTCTTGCTTTGGTCGTTGCGGGAACGTGTTCAAAATAATATAAATCGCTCCACGTACAACAGTACTGTCTTTACAGTAGATTTTTATCAAGTGTTATACAAATTATATAAACTTCGCAAGGTAGACTTGTAAAATTTCGTGTTATTCGACACGATGTTTTCTGTCGAATGCAGTAAGGATAATTGAAAATTTCGTGCGAGTTACTGTACGTATCTCGAGGCACGTCATTTTGCGCCGCAGAACACGTAAAAGTAGCTAATTATAAGGAAAAACTGTAATACACGTTTCTCTTCCTCGTCTTACTTATATACATATACAGTTGAGCTGCAAGCATGATCAGGGGAGAGAAATAGCTATAAGATAATACAAAATGCACAACGTGTCGCTCTGGAATTTCACCCGCCGAACGGGATGTACGCTCATTATACACTGCGCGTGATATTACCGTTCACTATTTTATTCTCGATAGGGTACGGTTACCGCGTTAGTCTGTTTTTTTAGACTATTCAGAGAAGAAATGTCGTGTGACTCCGGATTTTCATGCAAAACCCTCGAAGCATTCTACGCTATATCACATCCTATGTCTGAGCACATTTTTTTTTCTTTTATATCTCGTAAGAGTTATATATAGAGTATTCTTTATATTCTTACATAATATATAGTATGTTATGTATATATGTGTGTATGATATATATATATATATATGTGTGTGTGTGTATAGTTTTCTTTTATATAACGATTACAGGAGAAATGAAGTAATAAACGTTCTAGAAGGTAGAAAGAGAAAAAGAGAAATAGAGAGACTTTATAATAACTCTTGTGTAGTACAGTGTTTCGGCCGTCGCGAAGGAACCGTTTCGGAACAAGCTGGATGTTACACACTCGTAATTCGTTTTAACTACCTTCCCAACAGCATGACATTTTCTCGTTTGCCGTCAATTACGCGTGCGTTCGACGTTTTCCCTTTAATATCGCAATTCAAACACATATCGGATACGGCTCTGACGCACAACCGTACCACAATATATCTATATATAATTATATATGTATATATATATCGCACTCTCACGCTCTTCAACGATGGAATGTACTCTAGAATTAATGCGATGCTACTGTCGATCACATTATCGGGTTCTGGTAGACTTTCCAGGATAGATTCACTGGATGTAAATACATCATTTTTGAAGAAGATTCATACTATTCTCGCTTATAGATTTTGCTCTAACAGCTTCTACCTGCGAGTTTTCACACTAGCGCGTAGTGTGAAAATAACAATGAAATCAGATTAGCCGTGCTAATCTCTTAGAGTCCAGCTTTTTTTTCTCTCTTTACACACATTTATATAATATACTTTTAATTTATAACTTCCTGAACGTCGTACTTTGATTTCAGTTTCATGAAGTAGTTAAATGTATCTTATTGCTTGATCTGCGATTTTTGAAAATATCGTATTCAAGTTTCTCTAAGACCATCCAAAGTAACACGGAGTATTGCAAAGTGGGTATAGTGCTTATATATATATATATTCATGTTAGAGAGCTATGATACAGATATATATTCTTATAGGATTATTTTCTACATGGCAAATATGCACGTTAAGTAAATGTGTTATGTGCACACACGCGCGTACAGATCGAATCTCAAAAAGGCATGACCGTTAATTCAAATTCAATTGGACATCATGCAAGAGAGAAAGAAAGACACAGGGAGAGAGACGAGAGAAACAAGATAGAGAGGATCAAATTAGCGATTATTGATGTTGCGGAGAGTTTCGTTAAAAGTAACGATCCATCCAAAATGGAAGGGATACCGAATTAGTCTCATTCTCAACCCTGAACAGTCTACCATCTACTTGCGCAACTTATAAACAAATGCCCATATATATGTATATTATATGTTGTTAAGGGTACAATTCGAAACTCAACGTGGGAGTGTCTATTTACTTGATCTTGAACGCATCCATCAGCTCGTTCACAGCGGCTTGCGTCGCAGCCTGCGTCGCAGCTTGCGTCACCCTCTGTTGCAGACCACCCCCTCGACTAAACATACCACGGATAACCCAGCTTTGACTACAAATTTCTCACTCTTGCAGATGTTCTATTTTTACTTTATTATTATATTCTACTTAATATATATATATTTTTTTTATAGAGAAACACATGTCTCTCATATACGTGAACTTTATAATGCGCGTGCCGCGTGTACGAAAGCGTGCACAATGCCTCACTACATGCATCCGAGACAAGGAAACGTTATATGAAGGTATATGACTCCTCGTAATAGTAGTTATAAAAATGTCTCGTAAATAACAACGCGATATTCGTCCGATATTCCGAGTGAGCAGCTCTTATGCTGCTGTATTCTACTACAATATAGCTTTATAAAGCTCCCGTTTATAAATACATAACAATTAATATATGGCGCTATCGTCGCGTTCTCTCTGTTTTTTTTCCTCTTTTCTCCGGTAAATTGTAATGCAGGCACCGACACATTTGTCCGTAAATAGTAATTGACAAGTTTCGAATTGGTGTTAACACTTCATATAAAACATTTAGATGACAAGGAACGTGTAGCAGAAGTGCGATTGAGAAGCCTTAAACTTGTTAAATAGGATATACCTATGATAATTTTTAATAACGTTATGTGAAACACATATATCGATGGTAAAATACGAATTGGCGTATAAGCGGTAGATTTCGAAGAGACGCAACCGTAAACATCTCCAGGTTGCATTTTACCGAAATGTCATGCTGTTAGTAAGTGAATAAATGGTTATATCTCTATCTGCCGTAAGAACACAAAGTTCCTTTATTTGATAATATTTTCAACGATATATACACATATGATGTACAGTTTCATCAAAATAATTTACAATGAAACAAGTGTGTGACTCTATTTATATATATATATATATATATATATATTTATATATATTTATATCTCCATTTCTTTTTTACGAACAAGAGAGTTGTACCTTTTGGAAATATTTAGTATTGCACAGATTCCAAGTACTATCATCGGCGCTAAAATATAGCTACAATTAGAGGGTGTGTCGATCTCCGCGCGAGAGAAAATTCATTATTGTACATAGAATATATGCATATAATATACAACTAAAATTATTACATAGCTAACAGACGTAATATAACGTCTAATAATACGGAAACAATACCGTATCGAGAAATACCACAGTTACATCCTATCCTCTTTTGAATCTCAATCGATCACTAAGTCATCTAAAAAGTATGTCGTTGTCGTTTACGCAGGCAGAACGTACGAAAACAAAATTAGTTGGTAACTTGGAAGCTCATTTAGGATCGACAACACAAGACTCAGTGCAACACTATAATCGGTACAATAATTCCCGTGTGACTTTCACACCTCTATATTTAACATCGATCTCGTTATCTCCGTGTAAGTGTAATTGCAGACAGACAGTACGTTAACATATTTAGGAAATAGTGTTCTGTGTAAAATATACACCGACTATATGCAACGGATACATATTGATTAGTAGCGAATAGGCGAGAGTTAGTGCGAAGACTTATTGTCGGCGCCTGCAATAGAAAGTGAAGTTAGCACCTAAGCCCCCAATCGTCACACAAGCTACTTGTTCTCAGTACAGACGGGATTCAACACTCGAGATAGCTGCGTTACTTTATATTCGCGACTCGTGTGGAAAGTTAAACCGGTCGCCGATTTTTTGTGTTGTTAAAACTTCGACCACTCATCAACTATCGCGGCATTTATCGTGAAAATTGAAACTCGACGTGCGTATGGCTCGGTGTTAGTGATGTTGCGATTGATGAGGAGATAATGAAATCGCGATTTAAATTTTAAGATATTATTTGCAATATTTCTAGTTGGAATTTAATATCTATGTGATTTGTATGTAAAAAGCATTGTACTCACGATGGTATCAAAGGTGGAGGTAGGCCTGGATTAGCTCGCGCTGGCGGTGGTCCACCAGGACCGGGTCTATTAGGAATGGCTGGCGCCGGCCGGCCGCCTGCAGGTACTGGCGGTGGTGCTCGTGAGCTAGAAAGAGGTGGTGGCTGTGTCACTCCGCGTCTTGGACCACCAGGAGATGGTGGTGATAATCTAGAATGTAGGATACGCCTTATAATTAGCTCTTTTTACGCCGTACGAGTACTACAAATTCGCCCATCGAGACGTGATCTAAACGAAAAATAAGTTATAAGAGATATAGATTGAAAATAGAATAGAGAGATCACACAATATCTTTATCATTGAACGGATATAAAATAATTAATTTTCTTTTTATTAACCGAATTTACTTTCATCATTAATAATTGATGTTGTACACGTAAAAAAAGTACGTTAAAACAAGATATTATATTAAGTTCTAGCAATATTAATCTAACTTAATCTTCTACGCAAAACAATTATGTACTCAAGGGAGAATCTATTAATGCGAAAAGCGTGCATAAACGTGTGAACACTATATTCTTTAGAATAAAAAAAATTCTTTTTTTCTCAAGATATAGTATCGTTAAAAAAAATAAAGATAAATACGACATATGTAAAGGATCTTACCCAAGACTGTTTCAACGGTGTTCAAATGTATGGCAAAGCAGACGGTACAAAATGTAAGGATGAGAAATTAGTAAAATGCGCGACAAATAATGCTAGGAATAACATAAAGGTTACCTTGGATTCTCGCCGGATGCTAGCCAATCGTTCTTCACAGGTGGTGGTACTGGAGTCGAGACCGTAGCCATGGAGACATCGCCGATGATACGAAGGGCTTCCTTACATGCGTGATACATGCGCAACATCTCTTCTCGTTTTTGCGCCTCTTCAGGAGACTCTTCCATCATGGAAGCCTGCAAATATTTCCATATATGTTATATCATTTTTTTTTAGATAATAATTAAGAGAAAAAAATTGTCTCAATTTTTATAGAGATTTATAAAAAAAAAACTTGTGCAAAATTTTATACAAATTTTTAAATTTGTAAATATTTCAAAATGTATAAACATATGTAGAACATATATTAATTATATTGAAAAATTAATCTGAGTAATTTATAAAACTAAGTTTTTAATTTAACTCGGAAAATATTTCGATTTTAAAATGTTTGTAGTTTAAACTAAATTTGTTTTATCAAAAAATAACAAACATTTCGGACAAAATATTGAATTGAATCGGAGGGACGGAAAGGATGAGGACACTTACGATTACAGCATCATTAAATATCTTCAGACTATTAATTTCATCTTCATTTAACTGGGAAACAATGGGAGGAAGGCTTAATCTATTTGCTTGTACAACATAATTTTAAGGGAATGAAGTATGGAAAGTATAATAAAAATCCTCAAAGAGAAAAATTTAATGTAACATTTTACCTGATCGCCACTTGCGTAAAGATGCGCCAATAACTCCCCATTAATAAAGTCTTTAGCATTGTTAATGATAAGGTGCATAATTGTCTTTGGGACCAGATCACGGGTAGTTTTCGTGACAATCTTCATGTAGGAATCCACTAAATTCCTGATGGTCTCCACTTGACGTTCTAGCTGAGGATCCATCGATGACTGACCCTCTGTTCCACCCTGAAGAAACCAAAACAAAGTTTCATGATATTTCATATCTCTTATTAATGTTTTTTAATTAAAATGGTCCCAAAAATTATTTTTAAAAGGACTAAGGAGATTTAGAAATATATTTGAAGAATAATATATTTTGTGATGTTGTTAGAGCATTTCAGCAGAAGTGTGATTGGTTGAAGTGTCCGATGCTCGTGTGAATGTCGTGTGCTTCGTATCTCTTGAAAACACAATTGTACCAACCTCATATCCTTCCTTTTTAGTCGATTTAAATATGAGACAAAAAGAACACAGTTACTATTATGCATTCAATATAGAAAATTGTTAGTTCTATTTTGGAAAAAGTTACAGATATAAAAAAAGTCTACACACTACGTATAGGCGTTTCAAAGGAATAGCAATATTCATCAAGTTTTAATATCGATTTATAAAAGCATATAAAACTTGTGCAAAATTCCATACTAATTCTACGTATGTTCTGCCTTTGCACCTTGCGAGCATAAAGGTAAAGTCAAAATAATTTGCAACAATATCATTCTTTTGGTTAGTTTTCCCTGAGAATGCAACTGTATCACATCATCACACAAGTTAATAAATTGGAAATAAAATTTCTCTTTATGCTGCCTTTACTAACTCACCCTCTGCTTATCCTAAAATAAATTAAAATAGGTTCTAATAAACATAATAAACCATCCTTGTAATACAAGGTGGATTATGTCGGTTATTTTATATTAGATATAAGAGACTGATAATGATGAATAAAATATATTTCCAATAAAATATCTTTGATAAATAAATTTATATAAAACAATTATTTTACAAAGTCTCATATAAAATTATGATGTATTCTGATTAATGATGTACTCACCTCTCCTTCGCCATTCTCTTGTTCTGTTGATTTTTCAGGATACACACCAGCCCTCAGGAACGAAGCTTTCCAAGAGTCAACATCATCTTGAGTTTCACAACTGAGTTCCAGCTGTTTATAATCCTTATACACGTTTCTTCCTTCCGGATTGAATAACGCAAACAAATGACGCCGCGACATGAAACCCTGCTCCAGATCACGTAACTTCAACCCGTCCAAAGGCAGCATATACTTCTTTTCGCGTTCCTTCATACATAAAAATAGAATAGATTATACACTGTCTTCGGATGTCAGTTCCGTTGTAACGTACGTAACATACAATATGACATAACTTGAAAGATTATATGTATAACTATGAACGTGCTACTTACTTCTTCATCCTTGAACCAGGAGATACTCTCCGACGTTAAGACGAACCAATAATCTCTTGATCCGCCTTTCATGATACCGAGATTATGTATGCACATGTAGCCCTTGCGAATCACTTGGTTGCCTAATGTATGTCGACCAGCCTTAACTGCGTTCTCCGAGGACTGTTGTGCACTGTAACATAAATTACAATATATAATGAAACGTCAAATAACAAAAAAATCGTCGTGTACCCAATTGTGAGGATTGTTGCCATCTTACATTAATCAGTTGTAATAACTAATTTAAAAAAATAAATAAAAATAGAAAAGACCACTAGCAAGATAGATATCCTAGCATTTAATTTTTTAATATACATTTGTCGAGGAAAGAAAAAGTTTAACATTTACTCGTTATCTCAATGAGATGATTTACGTTAAAAATCGTCGATTACGCGAATGTTGCTAAATTGTGTTTGTACAAGGCGATAATGTGAACATGAGCAATATTTTGTGCTTTTATCTATAAACCGATGTTATATTGATACAATTGTCTCGAAAAAATCCATTATATACATGGAAATTTTACCTTAAGATATTCACTTAATTTAGAATACAGCAGGTAATTTATGTATCACCACATCGCTTCATGCATGTTACGTTTCATACAGCTTCGAATGTTTCTAAGCATATGTTTGCACAACTACGTTACAACATTAGCATATCACGAACATATATAATGTGTCGCTACGTCATTTGGTCAACATCGCAATAAATTTCGATATTATGGTGCAAAAGGATCGCATAAGCACATATTACATCCATCGCAAAACAGATTATAAGATGATGAAACTAAGTGACTTGATGCTGCATGATATACATTTCAAGAGTCTCATGAATGATACAGATGACTTAATAATTATTTTCGTTTATAACAGCCCTAATGTAACAAGTTATATAAATGTTCTTTTTCATCGATTAGTTGTTGATTAACTATGGCAAAAGTTGATACAGCAGACAATTCAAATTGTAAAAAAAATATGAATAAAAGATAAATAATATTTTTGCCTATTTAAAGATTTTCAAAATATAAGTAAACACAACGTCAAGCTGAAAAGTACTGAAGTCTGGTTTATAGTTGTATGTTAGTATATCAACTTAAAATGGAAGCAAGGATATATTAAACGAAAGATAAGCATAAAAGAAAAAAAGAGCGTGAAAAAAATGAAAAGGGATAAAAAATGTAGTGTAAATCTTTGTTGGAATGTACTTTAATATTCTTACCTTGCATTATGGCTACTGGCTGCAGCGCTGCCGATATAATTAAATCATTTCTTTAATTGTGAAACTTGAAGAAGTTGATAATGAATAGAAATATATGTCAGGACAACAAGCCCATATTACACTGATTAGGGTAAGGCACACATAATTTCCTAGATAGGTTTCAGAAATCATGAATTGTATGTAATCATAATGTTATCTAATATTTGATTAAATTTTCAAGACAACTAAATTTCTAAGATACGCTAATAATTTGTGCATTTTATGCGAAAAGACAAGCTTTGGTAAACTACGTATTTCCCTACAGAATCTGTATGCCTTATCCCTAACGACATTATCTATAAAACTGAGAAATTTTATGACTTTATTTTCAATAATATTACTATCAATTCTACGTAAGCCAATAACCCCTTCATTTTTGTATATTTAACCAACAACTACATCTACATTTCAAATGACTTTAAGTGTATACTGTGTTTAGAAACATCCCTGATAATCTTACAAATAATACTACGCGATTAAGTTCTTAATTGTCAAGTAAACGGAGCGGTATGAAAGCTTGAGTTGTGTTAATGGCAGTTAAGAATAATGAAAATGAACTAGAAGGTAAATATGTTATCAAGGTAAATGCCTAGGAGAGATTAGCTTAGTGTACTTTCATGTATGACTTTGGCACAGTGTCATACAACTGTACATTAAATAGATGAAGTAATAATATCTACTAAAAGATTACTATTCACTGAATTCTAACGTGACTTTCAGATTTGAAGGGAAGGTGAGCTAAGAATGTCTGCCAGAATGTGATCCAGAAGATTGCTATGTGAGCTGACTTTAGCAAGACATGCACCGACTGTGAAAAAATATGCGCTAATAACTCGAGTGAAAGAAAAATAGTGGCAAGCAAACAAATAATTTGACATTGCAATCACGTGTAGTACGTCTTTCTGTTGCGTCTTCAAAGAATGTTGAAACCTGATCTATAATTAAAAAATCTTCACTAATAAATTATTTTTACTTATTATGCATTATATAATCCTTTTGCTACGGCAAAACTTCATAAAAAAATGTGATCATGTAAAATTATTTTTTATCAAGTAACTATAAACGCTCTTAACACCTAAAGATCATTTTGTGGTGGGTTGCTTTTAGAGAAAAGATTAAATAAACTTTACTATTTATTGCCTGATGTGATATAAAAATCTAAAACTACTCCAATACACGTGTCTCAAAATTATGAAGATACTGTCTTACAGCGTAAGATATTATTAAAAATAACTTTTATGTATGAAACAGTAATTTTCAAATTATATCTATAAAAATATAATTAAGTATGTGTGAATGTGTTTTTCAAAGACAATATTTCATTATATCAAAAAATCTACTAATATACACTATAATGTGCGCAGAATATTATATATTTATGTAGAAATTTTTTGTAAAAATTTATAATGCACACAATACACGTGAAATTATATATCGCTAATATCGTTTTAATTAAAGCAACGTTTTGAAACATACAAGTTTACCTAAATACTCTAACAACATTACATAATGCCTCTTGCTATTCAGTGGCTATTGAAATTAACATAAAAAATAGGAGAATACAGCAGCAAGCACAAAGATAACGAAAGGAACATGTAGGACTAGATGTATCAACTTATTGAAACTGAAAGTTTCGGACTGTATGTTTGCTGTTTTAAATAATAATTAAGTCTAAGGTAACATGTAGGAAACAATGACAAGCATTTAAGGTTACTTACTTCGCAAAACCGATAAAATCTTCATGATTTGTGTTCATGTACGCGAGCTCGCAATCGACCAACAGGATTAGCTGCTCCTTGCACATTTGATCACGCTGCCTGATGTGTGTCGTTATAATACGTTCCGTTTCTTCCCTTAGTCTAGGATAACGCGACATCTGTAATTTATATAAAAATTGATACGTTAGAATCATGTGAACGATGACACGTGTATTATTATTAAATATAATAATAAAACTCATACTCACCCTATCTGTACAAATGCGTACAACATTACTAAGCTCTAGCACGACTAGGTCTACACATTTGAGACTTGGTTCTTTAAGTCTATTTATTTGTTTCTTGACTATTGCCTCAAAAGCCATGTCTGGAGTGAATAATCCTACTCTGATACCTGTTGAATTGAAATTTTGTTAATAACTCAGTATCGCGAAGAACTTTAATTCGATTCTATGATCTAGACGCTTTATGACAAAGAAGTTAAAAGAAACTCACCATGTATATTTCTGATGGCAAATGCGATTTCTCTCCTGAGTTCCTTCTCGTCAAACTCCATCTTTACAATTTCGAATGGGAAACGCTCGTGAAAGAGTCTGTTGATTTTAGCGCCGCCACTGAGTTCATTAGTGTTGATTTGTGCGGAACCTGAACCTTCTATAGTTCTCTCAAAATCTGACTGAAGTTGTTGTATCATCCTTAAAAATATTTTGCTATTAATTGGTGTAATATAGCGTATTACACAGTAATATTAGTTACATGGATAGAGAGTCTCGGTGTTATCTACCATTCACAAAACCGATCCAAATATCGGTTATTGCATCAATACTTGCAAACCTTATATATGTAATAGAAGAATGTCACATATATTATAAATATAGCACCATGTCGTATAATAGTTTTAATGTTTAAACATAGCAAGAAGAGAAATCGCTGTTAGCAATTTTATTAATCAATTTTCTTGTAGCAGAATAGTTTTATTGAATCACTTCCTGATAAAAGTGTATGCATAAAAATTAGTTTATTTTGTTAAAATTTCATGCAAATGGCACACTGCTCAAATTGTTAAAAAAGGAACTAAAAGAGGAAACAGGGATACCTACATATACATTTGAATCGATCTGAAAAATAAAAAGCAAATGTTCTGAAACCTCAAGACCCTCCACCCATGTGAAATAAAAAAAAAGTGCAATAAAGTAAAGGAATTGTGGTCTCATTTGCATGATTGTTATTTATAATGGAAATATGAAACATATAGAAAACATTCATCAAAATATTTCATCGTTATACACTGAGAAAAATTTCTGGTAATAATTATCCAGCCTGTTATTACATTTAGGATGTGGTCCAACAACCGCTACAAATGCTGCGCAGCGTTTCTCCCTCTTGTCCTATTTCTCGGATTCGAATAAAGAAAAAGAAAGAAGTACAAACGCTACAAAGCATTTGCAGCGCCCGCTGGACCGTATCCTTAGTGAAATAGTATCAACTAAATATAACTATATGAAAATAATAATAATACTATATGAAAATTGTTATTAACAATTTTGTAATTATTACCAAACATTTGGTAATATTTACCATATTGGTTACTATTTACCAAATGTTATGGTAAAACGCATATTACCAAACTTTTTTTTCAGTGTATAAACACATATATACGATATATTCTGCTAAAAGATATGCATTTGATTCTCACGATACACAGTTTATGAATGGAAGACGAACACTCTTGAGATACATCGAAAATCGATCAGTGTAACACGAGACATTGAAAAACTCTTGATTCACTTACTGTAACATAGCCTTTGTTTTGATTGCGGGATCATCAGGTCTGAAATGTTTGTACTGCTCAACATCCTTTTCTAAAGCTAGCTGCTGCTTCTGTAATCTATCTCTTAAAGCCGGCAAGGTATCCCTGATATGGTTTGTTAACTGTTGATTGAGAATTCTCTGCAAATATGGTGTGCCCAACCTGTCTGCTAGATGACGGTAAGACGGATGGCTGACAAATAAAACAAAAATTATGTATTGCTGAGAAAACAAAAAGGCAATTGCTTTCTTATATATAACAATATTTAGAGTAATCTATATACCTGAGGAAAAACTTCCGTTCTGCTGCCAGAGCATTTTTTATATCTTTTCGGCCTTCTATGTCTTTCTGACTTCTATTGACGACACCGATGTAACCTCTTCTCAATGGTAATAATTTATTTTCCAAGATATCTCTCGCGTCGGTGCCATCATCCATGAGATCCAATTTAGTAATGACGCCAATTGTACGCACACCTTGCAGTATCAAATGTCGAATTAACGTTTAAGTCGAAAAGATATTAACATTAACGCTCTCGATGATTACATACCTTGTACATCTACCTCCTTAGCGAGTTTAAGAGCATCGCTGTTGGCTAAATCTGTATTGGCTGGCGTGACAGCTAATATAAGACAATTCTCACGTTTGATAAATTGAAAGATCATAGCTTTAATTTGGGCTTCTATATCTGCTGGTTGATCTCCAATTGGTACTTTTGTGAGTCCAGGTAAATCAATCAGTGTCAAGTTCAAGACTGAATAAAAATAAAAGCATGTACTTATTAAATAATATGATTATTTTTCTTTCCATCTTTTGAAACTTCTGTGTATTATGCTTACCATTAGGTGAATATACTCTAAGATTTATTGGTATGTTAGAGATGCCCTTATTACTTCCAGTAACCCTATCCGTTTCAGCTTCAATCTCTTTCCGTACCTCGTCGAAATCGATAAACTTTTTTCCTTTGCAATGCAAAAATTCTGCGAATTCTAAAACATAGCAAGAAAAAATATATATTTTAATTTAATCATTCGACATAATTATTTTTATAAAAAATATTTCTATCATATAAAATATAAAAATAAATATAAGAAAAGGAAACAATATTTTAAATATAAAATTTCTCATGTACTTTATTATCTATTATGTTCCTACTGTTGAAAGGTGATATGCTAAATTTCTTGCTTATCATAACTTTAAACTCAGGAAGTATGATAACATGATAAATGATAAGCTTGATAACTTTATAATTGCATTTCAGTAAACACTCTGATTTTTATTAAATCTGCTTAATACAGTAATAAAATTAGAAACATCAATAATTGATTTATTAAACATAATAAATGCCATGTGGAAAATATACAGGATACAATAGATGCCACATAATATAAGGTTCCAACGAAGGTCAGATAGAGAATGACATTATAAATAGAGTAAATACATTATGCATTACCTTCGTTAAAAAGAAAATGTTTGTCACAATTATAGGTTAATAGGTTAACAAGATGATATTGCAAGCATACAAAGATTCTACATTCTTCAAATCACTTCTAATGTATAACTTTATAAAAGTAATGTATAGATAAAGATATATATTGTCACATATATACTAATATAATATCAGTTATCAAATAACATGATCAGTAAGTTATCAAAGGAGACAATAGAGAAGAAATGTTTTAATCAATCCTACTTGTCATGACTCACCAGTTGGGCTGTTAATCAGCTGTAGGATAAGAGGTCTTCTTGTTACAATGCCTGAACCTCTGGGTAAGAAGTCTCTGAGGAAAAAACACATTTATTGTTACAATTTATTGCAAAATTATATTTTATAAATATATTTTATATTTTATATTTTATCAATCTTACAATTAAATGCTTTCTATAAGGAATTATCCTATCTTCTTATAAGGAATTAATCTATAAAGTGTATGTAATATGCAAATATGCAACTGTAATAAAACAATGACACATTGACTACTCATCTGAATCAGATAGGTAAGGACTATTTTAAAGTATTAAATCATGTTTAAACTTGCTGGTAGCAGTATCAATGATATATTCTATGATAATAATATTTTTAATATCTGTGATAGAAATGTACATATTCATCTTCTCATTCAAAGTTCTTTATTGAGTAATTTCCTTTATTTCCAGCTCTTTTATATCAAAAAGTTGAATTAATATTATATCAGTATATCCATATATCATATTATACAATTAGTAATATCATATATCATTCTTTATGAAATCATGGTATAACAAGTTTTACATAATAAAAATATTTCAGAAATGATTATGAAATAATTATTATTGATGTTGCAAATATAGCTCTTGCAAATATAGCTATTTTATACCACATTTTATTTAAGAATGTTAGACAAAAATATAATTAAAATAAAAAATTAAATAATTTTTTTACCTAAAAAGGAGATAATTTTGAAGATGCTTGTTTTGAGTTTTCATTGAAATGTCCGTCAATTAGATTCGTATATAGACGTTTCAGTGTATCTCATAATTGATGTTCCGTATAATTATTGAATTCTTGGGTTTAACCACAACATCGGAATGGCTCGTGAATGACGAGGCGTTCGTTCTATAAGAACGTAGAGTCGTCCCACTGCCGATTTGCGCATGAACGGACGCTTCTAAGTGTTCCCAGTGATGATGCCGAGGTGAAGACGTTTGACAGGTTGCCCCGTGGGCGTTATTCGCTGGCGCATTGCTCGCCCGTATTTGTTTAGTTTTGCGTATTGAGGCGCAAATACCGTCCACGTAGCGATAGCTGTCAAACAGCATTCTCAACGACGACAAACAACGTTACGATCAAGTTGAAAAATCGCGCGTGTTTCGCCACGCCTAACGCTTTTGACGAAGACGTATTGGCGAAATCGAAATAAAGGTCTGTTGCTCTCGACTGCATTCTGTTACATCTCTCGCGCAAGCAAATCAGTTAGGTGTACGCGTATCCAGGCTTACAAGAAAAGCAAATGTAAAATACTAAGAATAGGAGAGCGCAACTAGAAAGAACAGACTCGAGAATGGGGAAACCGGTCGACCACGGCGACGTTAATCAATCGTTCGATTGGGTCCACCTTTATCTATTAGATAAAATCAACATTGGAGATAGGATAGCCTCGGACTTGGACCACCAAATCATACAAGGCTGACATCGCTATCGTACCCTCTGAAGGGGGTGGGTACGTCGAGAAGGAAGGCTGGGTGTATGTTTGCACGATGAAGTCGAGTACTTACTTGCCGACGAAGTTCTCGAGGACGGAGCTTTTGCCCGCACTCTGGCCGCCCACCACCGCGATCTGCGGCAGATCGAGCTGCATATGCACACCAAGCTGCGTGAACGCATCCTGCAGCTTGTTCACGATCGGGATCAATTGTTCCATACCCGCGTTGCCCGCCATCCCGCCGGATTGTCGCGATTACGCCGCTCGGAAATCGACACACGATCTCGCTCGTTCGCGCACTCTGCCTCTTTCACGACTGATGCGCGACTCCGCTGTACTCGGCGATCCACCGAATTGCTGCTGCTACTTGCCGACGCTCTGCCACCGCCCGCACACGCACGACCGTTAAAAGGGTGGCCGACGGAGGCGAGCCCGTCCGTTGCGGAGTCTAAGCACGCACTAAAGCAAGATGGCCGATTTCCTTCCGCGAAACGAACCACTCGCTCTCTCGCGCGCGCGCTGGCTGACGGCTGGCTCTGTTCCGCAGCTCACTTCACCGCGTCTTCATACCGCGACGGTAGCGGTAGCGGTGGCGGCGAGAACGACGATACGAATCGCGCGATTTTACCGGTCTCGCATCGGCCTCGCTCTCGTGTCGCGCGCGACGGCTGCGAACGACATCAAGTGCGATGCGAATTTACGCGAGAACGTCACGCGCGATCTATGCGAGCCGCTCCGGAGGAAACGTAGCAGGCGAGGCGTCGCGACGGACACGCTCGCGTAAATGAGGGTTCGCAGCGGTTACGCGACGGCGACGACGGCGACGACGGCGACAACCACCATCGCGAACTCGCTTGTGTCGAGAAAGAGAGAGATAGAGACCATACAGCGGTTCAATCGATAATCGAAGCGTGCGCACAAGCACACCGCCGTCCGTCGCCGTCGTGACCCACTTTCAGTGGCTGTGAGATAAAATCCATATCGTTCGCACGCGAGCGTCCGTCGACGCGCTGACCTTTTTGCACCCGCGCGTCCCACGTAGACACACTATTTCGCACGTACGTTTGTACGTTTGCGCGTGCGGCGCGCGACGGAAATTCGACGGACGACGTTCCCTTCCGATACAAGGACGACAGTCGATACTCTGTCCGATCGATGCCGCAACTTCGACTCCATTCTCTTTGCCTGACGCGTCTCTCTTCGCTGTACATTATCTTTTTCTCGTTTCTCCCTCTCTCCCTCTCTCTCTCTCTCTCTCTCTCTCTCTCTCTCCTCTTCGCTGTAAGACCACGCAATATATCTTTATTTCGTTCTGAATGCAACTGGGCGTATGTTCGTTTAGTCTCGAGTGTAGAAAGTGTAACGCAGTGCGGCCGAGAGGAACTGAATTGTCGACTCGCTTCACGCTATTCGCTCGCGAGCGCGCGCGATATTTTCAAAGTCGCGCGGCAAAAATTCCCGTTCGCCGCTGTGCGCGAAAGTGAAAACCAGATCAGTTTCCTCCTCTCGCTCTTCCCTTTTCCTACTTGCGAAGCAAAGAGAAACAGAGAAAGTGGAATCGTCCTCGGAAACGGTCACATCGATTTCGCGGTTAACTATAGATTCCTTCGTCTCAGCTGTACTTTCCCACACCACATGCATACAAAATAGCTGTTCTTTTTAACTACACTCCTTACACTTGCGATTTTTTGTCTCTTTTTGTACTCTCTTTCTCGTGAGTTCGAAGACTCGCTGATATCATTTTACGTATGAAAAGTGCAAGGAAGATACGATATTTTCTTTCCATTGACGCTTATTTCGGAAAAAATTCCAGATTGTTCGATCGCTTTGAACTTGATGTTGTGTCTCGATGTTGTTTGATTATTAATGAAGGAAGGTTATGTAATGGAAACGTATACATATATTTGTCCGTGTCTGTGTGGTGTGCGAATTATATCGGCCTACTTGACATCGTACTTCTTAAATTCGGCCGATCGATCAGCGAATTTAGAAGCGAGTCTGTTCAATAGAATCACGACATTGGCTATCGTTATTGATCATTGACCCGTAAAGACATCTGGTGTGACGTATGTCGCGTATACATGTCGATCCTGTTACCGATTCAAGTAATTACTCGATTTAATAATGGCACACGCAATTATGAACATTACGTGCTGTCTGCTTTAATGGAGATACGACATTCATTTATATCAATTTGAACGATTCAGAATTAACTATGATATATATCGCACGAAAACAATTGATAATGTTCATTTAGCGCTATATGAGCTGTGACGTAATTTAAAGGCGTTTGTACACTCCCCCTTCTCTAATGGCGGCGTCCAAACGTAAGAGAAAAAGAGATGGAAAAATAGACAAAGCACTTTTATCAGTCACTTATATAATAAAAATTTGCAATCTAAAAAATTAGAAAATGTTTAACACGTAGATATTTAAAAAATTTAATAAATTTAATAGATTCTGTTCTCTTTTTTCTCTCCTACCGTTAATATCATTTTTTAGTTACGTTTAAATAGAATTGCATGATTTTCATTGACGTAATATATAAAATTCATAACAAATGTAAACGTACGATAGAGAAATCGATTACATTTTGTGCGATGAGGTTTTCTCGCGCTCAGTCAGAGTGCAAAATTAATTGCACTATTTTTACGATACCCATTCAGGAACCCGTGGCCCAGAATCTTATATTGACTTCACGACGACTGTATGACCTATAAAACAGAACAAAGGAACCGGTGGGACTTGTGAATGTGAGCAAAACATATGATGATTTTATCAGATTCTGAAAATTGCTGGTCATTGTCTAATACCAATGCACTGAATCTAATCTGATTGTTCTTTCTTGCGATTATTGCACTTGAAATAAATAAGACACATGTTCGATTATCGAAACAAGGAAGAAAGGAGCAAAATGTAGAGAGCGAACGAATCTCTACTCTTAGGATTAACAATTATGAAAGGAAGATTCATCTCCAGAAATGAGTTTGATAGTAACAGTGAATTTCGAGTTTTAATTGAAATTAAACCTATTCCCAAAAATCTGGAGAAGATTACGGAAAGTCCAGCTGGAGAGTGTATACAGAACCTTCGATTGCATCTTCATATCGAGGCAACGGAGCTTCGATGTGTATCCGCTCGCATATTTTCAACGGTGCGAGCGCTCGCGTCTCTCTGCGAGATTCAGCTAGCTTCGGGCGCGTACGTGCGGACGAACGTAGCTATATGGGGGCGCGATCAGTATTTTCCTACTACGGTGCGAGTCCAAAATGTCAGACGTCGATAGATGGATAGATATCGCGAAAGAGTGCAAATACCTGCCCGAGAATGATCTCAAGGTAAATTAATGCGCGTGGGATCGGCGTCCGCGCCGAAAACGTACGGTCCGCTTCGCGAGCGACAACGGCCGCGCGCGATCGGCGCCGATAGGTTACCTGTAACACCAGCGCGTATTTCGCCTTTCCCGTTAATCACGCTGTCATTTTCACGCTGCCGACAGAAACTCTGTGACATCGTATGTGACTTGTTGCTGGAGGAGTCCAACATCCAGCCCGTGTCCACCCCGGTGACGGTATGCGGCGATATCCATGGTCAGGTAAGTCCCGGATATGCTCCCTAACCTCCAAATCGAAGCATCGTCCCGAAATCATGACAGGGTCATCGTTAAGTTCTCGTACGCCGTAAAATATCACCTTGTGTAGATAATTTCTCCACAATGAGAGACAAGAATAATTCGTCAAGTGTTAAGAATAGAGAACTAACCTTTGATCAGTTTCACATTCTTGCTAATTTTACAATAGTCCATGCATAGTTATTTCGACAAAGGAAGTGGACAGACATCCTAGATTGCGTGCATTTCCATGTTGCAGTTTTACGATTTAGAAGAACTGTTTCGTAATGGTGGTCAAGTACCAGATACGAATTATATATTCCTGGGAGACTTTGTAGATCGGGGCTACTACAGTCTAGAAACATTCACTCGTCTGCTCACACTTAAAGCTAAATGGTCTGACAGGATAACACTACTTCGTGGGAATCATGAGTCTAGACAAATAACACATGTTTATGGATTTTACGGTAAGCATACAGCTGTACATCCCTTGTTTTATACTTATTTTATGCCCATACAATTGTATTTGTTTCATTGGTTTCATTGTAACTTTTTATTACAGATGAATGCCAAAATAAATATGGTAATGCTAACGCATGGAAGTACTGTTGTAGGGTGTTTGACTTGCTCACAGTTGCTGCCGTGAGTATTTATATTATGTAAAGTATCTCGAAAAACTAAGCCAAGTGTCTTTGAAATATAACTGAGTAAGAGGATTCTCAAAACTAAAAGATTTTTAAAGATTAAGAGCTTTTATTTTTCAAAAGATTAAGAACTTTTATATAATTTATGAACTAATAGATTCTGTATTATAATATTAAAATAAAATATCCTGTTTTGTAGTTAATCGATGAACAGGTTCTTTGTGTACATGGTGGATTATCTCCAGCTATTAGAACACTAGATCAAATTAGAACGATTGAAAGGAATCAAGAGATTCCACACAAAGGTATGCTGATGACTATAATATATTAACGATATACATCAGTTGCATAATGCTTTACTATGTTAAATATTGCACAGCCTGACAAATTGTTCGTGTATGAAAAGATATATTGAATATTACTCCTTAATTACTACATTACACAGGTGCTTTCTGTGATTTGGTTTGGTCTGATCCAGAGGATGTGGAAACATGGTCAGTAAGTCCGCGTGGTGCAGGTTGGCTATTTGGCAGTAAAGTCACTTACATGTTCATGGAAGTAAACGACCTTAAACTCATCTGTAGAGCACACCAACTAGTTCACGAAGGTATTATAATCTCATTAGTCATAATACTTTAATGTTATCTAAAATCGTAACTTTTATATTATAATCTAATGTAATCTAAGTTTTACATTGCAACGTAATGTTATCTAAGTTAATTGCAAGGTGTACTGATAATACATGTTTTTTACCAGGTTATAGGTACATGTTTAATGACAAACTCGTCACAGTGTGGTCAGCTCCAAATTATTGTTATCGATGCGGTAACATAGCTAGTATCCTGCAGTTCACGACAGTGGATCAGAGAACACCCGTGCTGTTCCAGGCGGTGCCTGATTCTGAAAGAGTAATCCCACCTCTAACGACCACTCCGTACTTTTTGTGATCTAACTTAGTGGCCCATTTGTACGGACGTGGGAAAGAAGTGTCTCTGTCTAGACTTTACGGAATCACATGACTCTGTTGACGGATCCAGGCTGGTACCATGACGGAGCCTCAAATTTGTGAGAATGTATGATACATACATACACACGTACACATACATACAACACACGTACATATACATATATATATATATATATATATATATATACATATATATTACTCTAGAATTTTAATTCCCTTAAAAGAAAAAAAAAAACTTGTTTGGATGCGTTCTACGACCGAATTGCGAAATACTTAGAGGACTGAATTGTCGTGTGATTACTTGTTCAGGGAATGTTCTTTAGATTTTTTAAGAACTTTATCAAGTTTTATATGTTGTAAAGTTAACTTTTATATATATACATAGTATCTGCCATCGCATCAGCCTGATTTTTGTAGCTCGAAATGAAAAAATATTTTGCATCATGGAGCAAATGTGAACATTCTGTGGTCTAGACGCTTTTGCTGTCTACTGTGTACATTCTGTAGAGCATTCATATCTCAGAGCAGCATCATGGACTTTAATGTTCAAAAGACTAAGAGCTTTTAAATAATTTATGAACGCAACTAACGAATATAGTCCAG